CGCGCATATCCTCGTGGAATTCGGGATGTATTTCGGAATTTAAGGTGAAATTCACACCATATGTGGTATATATATATGCGCAAACAACAGCAATAATTAAAGTCAGTTCAACTTACATCGTTGTCAATGATCCGGTTGAGAAATTGTCGCATAAAATTGCACACTACTTGTAGAAGACGATCGATTGCATCGTTCCAGTTGACTAACAACTCTTCTTTTAATCTAACAGTACGGGATGGGGGAGAAAAATGAACCGTGCGTAATTTGCGAAATTGGAAACGACCGAAATTTGTGAATACATATTTCATGTAAGTTATTCGTTTAGGGTTTGAAATGTGACTTCACATTCTGACCTGCAAATCAAATGTTTGCGATACGAGAAGCTAATATTAACACAAGCTGTTTCCCCTTCTAAACCATGAGATAGCAAGTTGGACTTGGACTGATCATCCTTCACACTCTATCTTCACGTGCTATCTTTAGTTCATCCGTTCCAATCATCCGCTTATGAGACACCAGCTTTTTTCTTTTTAGGGCTTAATGGTGTAAATTCAAGCCTCCCCCCTCCGTCCGGAACATACTCTTGCATTGAAGGTATGTGGGTGTTACCACACTATCAACCCGCTCGTTCTGGAGTTAACTATAGACCTACGGATCCCAGTTTATTCGCATATCGTCTTCAGTGATAATCTGCCAGTTTATTGGGTCTGACCGCAACGAAAAGAGGGAGATGGAGACGTGCACACATCTTTGATCATCTGTTAAATTCATTGGAAATCCTCCCACCAGATCAAGTTTTCTTCCATGGAGATTCCGTGTAAGTTGTCACAATTAACCATACTTGACTATAGATTTTTAGTTTACATTTATCTCACTCCTACTTGTGAGCATTGATTGGTCTGGGGTTGGTTATACTAATTTGAGAAGTGACCGTCCTTTAGACCTCACTTCCACGCACAATCCTCGGTTCACATGATCAGTCAGCAGTAAAGATCATTGATGCAAAGAGTTCTTCTCGATTATTCATTCTCAAGCTTCTACAGGAATGCACGATCACAGGTTAGCGAAACGGAAAGAATTCTTCACTTCAACGGTCTTTTCAATGAATAATGGGGATAGTTCAACATGCAGTGGTAACACACACACACACACACCTTCCTTTCTATGGGTCCGGAGATCAAAGTCCAGATGGATGAAACTCGACTTCAGTGCTTCCTGAGTGCAAAGTCAACTGGATGGCTTAAGTGTGTGATTGTTAAAATGGAGTATGGCTAAATGTTAATTTTAACAGAGCTACTCACTTTTCGGCTGTGGTGATGGCATCGGTTGCTGGTGATGTGATCCACACACAAACAGACGGGACCACATGAATCGCAGTTTCATTGATACCTCGTACACGCCAATAGTGACTCACAGATTGACTGTTCATCGAGAACCCAGACGGATCACTCGAGCTGTCGAACACGAAATGTTGTTGTTGCTGCGGTGGGGGTGGAGTCATGTCGATAATTTCCACCGTTTCCGTGGACCCACTGTTCATTGTTCCTCTTTCTAGGTGAACTTCTGTTCCGCTGGAAAATGCATCACTGTTATGCATGGGCGCGTAGGTTGTTGNGTTGTGACTGGGACACGATTGCTCACAATCACAATCCGATCACCGGCACGAAATTTGAAATCGCCCATATCGTAGTCGCACAACATGATCCCATCAACCTCATCAATCAGCGGTTGGGTACGCATGTAGATCGGTACAATCATATGGGATTTAGTAGATAAATTTTCGGATTCACGAGCGAATTGTTCAAATTGGATTAGAGTACTCTGTCGAATTAGAACAGAAAACAAGTTTACATGAGGACACAGACATTTCAGCCGTGACATGTTTGTCGATTAGCAGTACTTATGACCCCGATTACTTACGCGAAGAATATTTGCCAGATGACGTGCTTCAATCGGCGTTCCGTCGCATCCCTCCCAGTTGTCTCGTTCAAACATGGCATCCACTTGATCAGTGACACGACCAATTTTCGGATGCAATTGTTTGGTGTTGTAGTAANGAGAATAACGGTTTTTACAAACATACGATAATGCCAAGTATATCGCAATATTTCATTCATGTCAGATTAGATGGTCTGATCGACTTACGCGATGATATTCGGCGGCATTTTTCAAATGAATATTTGATAGTTCGGCATATCGTTGCACATTATCCCAGCAAAGATCTACTTCCAGTCGCATGTCCTGTTCACAGTGTTTGTGAGAATGAAAACGGAAATCAGAGGAACGACAAGTTAACCACTCATTCGATTTGCATGCAGAATTCTAATGGAAACAAAAAACAGCCTGGTGTATGTCTGCTAAACTGAGACCGGCATGATGTTCAAATTCACCAGAGCTGAGATCGATCACTTGTCTTGAAAATATCGCACACAGAAATTTTATTTTTATTTCCAAATCGCCAGATGAAATTGAAAATGAAAAGTGCACAAATCAATCTGTGTCCGTGAGTTAGAAAATCAGCGGCGACAAAACGTGTTGGTCAAACTGTTGACTACCGTT